TGATATCTATATATCCATATAGTATCACTTGCGTGGTTACCTCATCTTATTTGCTAATTAAATAATTAATAAAAAATCATGTTTTGCAAAACCAAATTTATTCTCTCTGCGTCAGCCCTTACTTAATTTGACGTTGGTTTGGTGGCAACAAGTCTCGGTCAGAACCAATATTTCTAATTGAGGCAAAGTTTGTACAGAATGAATTAGTACGTGAATGATAGTCACGTCTTGATTATTTTATAGGGTAAAGTGCATCAAACCCCCTTGAATTATTGGGATATGTGAAAGAAACTCCCTTAAACTATAAAAGTTACAAAAAATCCCCCTAAACTACTGAGATATGTGCAAAAAACCCCCCTAAACTATAAAAGTTACAAAAAAAAAAACCCCTAAACTATTGGGGTATGTGCAAAAAACCCTCCCTGAACTATATATTTTTTTACAGTTTATCCCATCCACGCGAATTGATTGACTGAAAGGGACAATGAAGCAGAGGAATTTGTTGCTGGGATCGGGTCTCCTGTCATAGCTCCATCATAGCTGTTGCACCACCCGCCAGATCCGTCGGCCATATATATCGCACTTCTCTGCACCGTTGCGTCAGCCCATCGCCGTCACCGCCTTGCCCACCATTCAGCTCACCTTGCTCGCCAGTCCATTCCACCGTCCATTCCATCTCGCCAGCCCATTCTGCCATCTCCATAGCCGAGCACACCGCCGTCCGTGTTTCGAGCACACAGCCATCCACAGTTCACAGCCGAGCCCCCCTGAGCTCGTCGCCGCCTCCACAGTTCACAGCCGAGCTCTTATCACAGCCGAGTCCTCCGCACACAAGCCACCATCATCCGAGACCAAGCCATCCCGCCAACCTCGGATTTTCTCTTCTCTCTCTCTCCAGCTCTCAGTTTTGGGTTGTGGCGGGTGAAAAGTATCTTTTGGTAGAAAAAAAAAAGTAAGAAGTGTATAAGTTAAAACGACGCAGTGTGTTATAAGGGTAAACTGGTCTTTTAAAATTTTCGGTGCCGGAAGCTGATGTCATGGGGGTAAATTGCAACAAAATTATAGTTCAAGGGGTAAATTGCAACAAAATCATAGTTCAGGGGGGTTTCTTGCAAATGACCAATAGTTCAAGGGGGTAAATTGCAATAAAATCAGAGTTCAGGGAGATTTTTTATAATTCAGGAGGGTTTCTTGCAAATGACCAATAGTTCAAGGGGGTTTAATGCACTTTACCCTATTTTATATCCAATAATTTTTTTTTTTTCAATTTTTTTCTCCCTTGTCATTATTCACTTTTAATTAATTTAATTATTTGACACTGACCAATTCTTTTTATTATCATATTGTCAGTGTCTCTGTCATTTTTTAAGTTCTATCTTTTTGTTTCATGGTTCTACTTAGGCCATACGCAGCTACCTAGCGGAACTCAATTTTCGCGAGCCGAAGAGGCTTTGGGTCGTGCAACGGCCTTTTTAAATTGGTAGGGCTCATTTTAGGCTCGCGGTATTCAGCGAGCCTGTCCGCGATCGGGGTAAATTTTTTTTTTTTGTTTTTTATGGTTTCAAAATGGCGCCGTTTGACTGCCTCTCTTTTGGCTCTTTGTGGCAAGTGTTGTAGTAGTGCGCATTAAGGCACTATTTGGCAGATTTTTTTTTTAGCCATTGTTTGTCCAAAAAAAAAAAATTTTATGCCAAAAATATATTAAAAAACCTTCTTTTTTTTTGTTTTTGTTTTTGTTTTTTCCCTTAAAATTTAGTTTTTTTTTTATTTTTATTTTTTTGCTTAAATTTTAAATGTGTAGGCCAAATAGTGTATTTAGCTGTTAAGGCGCTGTTTGGCTGACACAAACAGTGCCTTAACGGCTATAATTTTTTTAAAAAAATATATAAATATATTTTTTTTAACTTTTTGAAAAAAAAATAATTATAATTACAAATTCATTTACTTATTCCTATAGTATTTTGTAATACTTATTTTCTTATTCCAATCTTAAAAAATTATTACATAAACTTTGACATCATTAAGAATACGAAGAAAAAGTTCTCGTCGCATCCTAAATATAGTCGTTTAAAAAAAGTTAAAAAAAAAAATTATTTTAATTTTTTATTATTCTTTTTTTTAGAGAACGAAAATTCAGAGAGCCTGATGGAATACATATTTTTTAAGAGCAAAAATTATTGATGTGATTTTTGAAATTATTAATGTGACTTTTAAAAAGACTGATGTTGCGTTTTTAGAAAGTTAAAATGGAGAAGTTGGTGTGGATGACCTTAGGGTTGTGCAAATGACAGCCAAATCGGATGAAAATTTGAATTGACAACCAATTAATCTTGTAAGTACAAGTTTGTCAATCATTTTTGTTTTGTTTTTATTGTGCTTTGTGCGGGAAGTTAACTAGGGACCCAAAATACCGCACTCATTTAGTTATGTACTCTTGTTATCACATGAATAGTACCACATTTAGTATCGAAATATTTATATAAATTCTTTTTCATTGTAGCGAAAACGTTATAGAAAAATAACACTCTAGAAAATACTATACAAAATAATACTTTAGATAACCTTTTTAACTAGAGATCTTATTAGTCGTACAAGAGTATTGTGAATAGTGACAATATTGAAAGTAGACGAGAATATACAATTTTACTTCACATAAATGGCCTCGACTTAATTGGACCTCTTGTTAGAAAATCGGCAAGCCTCAATAATAAAGTAGCAGTATTAAAAAATTAGAGATTGGATTGCATAATTACATTCAAATCCAATCTCTTGCTTTATAAGAATCAATTAATCTCGTTATATATAGCAAGGTACAGTTGACCCTTTAATAAGTAACTATAGTTATATAATAAATAAATAATAGTTTATAATCTTTAGGTAACCACCGTACCAGCTTAGTTTCAATGTGGATAATAATTACAAAATTTTATTATTAATATTTTGTTTTTTAAAAAGTTCCTATTATGTTACTAAAAAGTAGTCATAATATATATATATATATATATATATATATATATATATATAGGATAATGGTATTCATATTTCACTGAAATTTTTTAATAAATAAAATGACAAGACTATCAAGTATACGAGTATTTTTAAAAGTAATTATTAGAGTGTGAGAGTGTTTTTTGAAAGACAAAAAGCAAGTGAAGTACAAGTAGAAAAAATTAGTTTGTGAATATTATATCCGTAAATTTAAAAATAAATACACAGACCCGTAAAAGTGCAATCTTCTATGCATGTTTTATATAATCGAATTAAAAAGGGGTTTAAATTTTACTAGACAAGTGAAAAGTAAAAATTAGTATGTTCTAATTTTTCATATAAAACAGGAACGTAAACAAAGTAACAAACATTAATAGTTTTTGTTGATGTAAATTTATAGAGTGATCAGAAGTTAATGAAACTGCAAATTAATTAATAATTAATTAATAGATATTGAAAGAATATGTGGTTAAATCATGTATATAAAAAATGTAAAATGTTATCGACATTTTTATAATGCTGTAGTATAGAATTCAGACAAATTTAAAGTTAATAAACACATGCAAAAACTAATATCAAAATATTTTAAAATTTGATCAATGATTTCAATAATCATAAATTGTTATCTTATCTTTTTGTGAGTTCAGTCTGCAGTGTGACTAACATTTTTATCTAAAAAATTAGTATTTATGTTCAAATGTAGTTTTGTACAGTATGAAATAATAAAAATAATTTCCGAAAAAAAGGAAAAAGAAAAAAGGAAAAAGAAATATATATATATATATATAATTTATCCTTTTTAGAGCATTAGAAGAGAAGTCAATAATTTAAGCAAGTTAAAATGCAGCACATGAGGACATGGCACACGTGTTGGACTGGATTAAATTCACTGCTCTATTCTGTGAACAATGTTTAAGCTGTATAAATAAAGTTGGGCTTGGTCCTAACCCAGCTTCCACAAACCTTAGACTAGCAATTTTGACAAACCTTGGTTTTCTGATTTTCTTTTCTTAGAAAATAAAAAATTGTTTAAAAAAACTGAACCAAATAAACTTAAAATATGTTTATGGTCTTTATCAAGACCATTTAATATTTTTGTATCTTTGCAAATGTAAAATTGAGGGATCGAGTCGGAATGAAATTATTTAAATGTGTGACTTTTACCTACTAAAAAAAACCACTATTTATAAATTTAAGGGTGATAAACTATTTCATCAACCTATATCTAGTAGTCATGCACAAATTGTATCCTAATTTGGCAATTTCAATTTGTTCATGCAATGTTAAAATTTTGATTTTTTAGTTGATAATAATAAGTATACATTGAATTGTTTTATATGAGTGAATATGATGTCATAATGACGTTATTTTCGCGCAAAGTTATGCCATTTGTAGAGAGATTGTTTCCCTTTTTCGAAATCAAATAGAATGGTGTTATTGTTGCATCGCTTGCCCTCATTATTTTACATATACAAAAACAAAAATAATTGGATTTTCTATTTGTTTTATATTCACCCTTCAATTTAGGAGGGTGAGAAGGTATTAATTTCTTACAATGCTAAGTAGATAAAAAAGTTCAGAGAAATGTCACCGAAACAAAATTTCTAGTTTCTTGAATTTAATGTCTTGAAAAACTTGCAACACACCTTAAATATTGAAGCATATCAGAAGATGAATTTGAGTAATTCCATGCACAGTGATTTAATTAGAGATCATGTATATAAAAAAAATCAAACATATAACAAGTCTTTTTCAGTCAGCGTCAATAATATCAAAGCTAAAGTAGCTCCACAAAATTTCACTTTGTGATTGAAAAAACACACACACACACAACACACAACACACATGCATGTATGTAATTCTTAGAAGTGAATATATTATCATTGCTTAAAAGAATTGGTTCATTCTGCAGTAAACTTTTTTTTTTAACAAAACCAAATAATAACATCATATAAGCCATTTAAGGCTTTGAAGATTCATTACTTAAGTATAGGTCTCCTACATAGCTTGAAGATTCATTACTCAAATATAGGTCTCCTACATAGCTTGAAATTGCATCCAATAGACTAAAATCTATTATATACTGGTTTGTATATACATGAATAAGAGAACTCACAACTTATAGAGAGTGCTCATGACACATATGTATATATATCCAAGTCTAAATTTATATGTCATCCGAGCTATGTACCAATACTAATAATAGCTTCACAAGAGAGGAACAGAATTTGGATAAAAAAAAGTCTGCCAAAAACAGGGTTTTTGCTATTACCAATCTGTTAATGCTTGAATCTCTTTTTTTGAAGAATACCCAAATCAATTTTTCACATCATCTCTCTAATCAACTGGATTTTCCTTCGGATTCATACTTATTCGTCACAGCTGATGATGAATCGATTGAAATAGACCTTAGTGATTGTATCCCATCCTCCATGTCAATTTTACTGTCGTCCAAGTCAATTACAATCCGAAAAACACCATTCCCATTAGAATTTACAACCACCTGTGGTAATTCCAATTCCAATTCATCCTCTGTACCAACTCTGTTTTCACAAACCTCCCCACCAGAGATCGAATTATTAGTCAATTCACCATAGTTCTCTGAATTCTCCATTTGGGTATCTTCATTTGGACTTGAACTATGAGCAATCTGGTCATTTGAAGCTGAAGTAGTACTGACAGTAGTGTTGGACACTACGCTAGCGCGACAAAATGGACAATTGGCGTGTGACCTCAGCCAAGTATCGATGCAAGGGATGTGAAATGCATGACTGCACTTGGGTAGTAGCCGAAGAGTGTCACCTTCTTGAAACTCGTTTAAGCATACCGAACAATCAGTCATCCCTTCGATCAAATGATCACCTTTCTTGTACTCGAAGACTCTGATTGAATTGATGATCGAGGGTTGGAGGCCAGCGGTGGAGATGTACCAGATTTGATGGTCACTTGCTGGTCCATGATTTTCATGCACAAACTCTTCTCCCGGTCCATCTGATTGGGTTGGTGATGTACCAAAAAGGTTAAATCTGGAACAGTACTTAATGACGATCATGTAACAGCTGAGCAGAATGAAGCAGCCGGTAATGAAGGCGACTATGAACTGCATGATGACCGTGTTGGGAGATACGTGGCTGATTTGGCCGGCTGAGAGAGGTGGCGGCGTCGGCGGCGGTGGTATCGTGGAATAGTTTGGGTATTCATAACAACCGGTTAAGGCACAATACTCTGGACAGTCTACAGTCAGGTTCATTGCAGTTGAAGCTGGAAATAGTTTTATGTGCTTCATGGAAGAGGAGAGAGAGAGAGGAAGGGAGGGAGGGAGAATGTTTATTAACTTCTGTTTGGAGGGAGAGAAACAAAAAGAAAAAAAACGAGAGGTGATAATTCTTATTTTTTTCTTTGTTGTTGCCAGCTGTGTTAATTAAACAAACATTTCTTTTTTATTGTTTGGGTGGGGAGGAAATTAATCAATGGTCTCAAACTTGTATACACTTCAATTTTGGCTGGCATGGAGTGTCCACAAATATGCTGCTGCTGTGTGTAATATTATATACATGTCCAGCCCAAAAAAATTCTCTGCAATTACTCTCTTACTTGATTGGTCTAGTGAGGGAGTAAAAAAATTAATTTTGCAATTGAGTTAATTCTTTAGCATTTAAAGTTATGGGATAAGATTTAGTTTGTGCTACAAAAATTAACGTTGTTCAATTCGACCAAATCCTATGCAATTACAATTTAAAAATTTTGATTTAGATAACATGTTCTGCATACATATTTTAATTAAAGTAAGGTTATTTTAGATATAATATATTATATAAAGTATAACTTATAAAGTTGGCGTTAATCATTACCGATGCTCACTAACGTCACAATGAGACAGAAGATGATTTTTTTACATATCAAGCAAGCTTGCCTTTCCCTTTTTCGAAATACCTTTATTTTGAAACAGAGGAAATATATATATATATATATATATAGATACCAATAAAAAGCCAAATCTTAAGAAAGAACAGAGTAATAATAAGAGCCAATATAATTTGCCCTAAAATTAAAAAATATGATCATTTCATGAGTCATGACACCTTGGAAATTATTTTTTGACATGTATATAAAATTTTAGCGCCCAAAATTCCAAACTCTTTTTTTTAGTTACCATTTCGCGCGCACGAAATCACGGTTCTCCAGAAGGTTCCTTAAAAGATATGATCCTCTTTCTATCATCTTTAAAATAAAAAGGTTAATTACACTCATACCTTTTGAGGTTTCCTCTATTAACAACTGGATGAAACTTAGCTCATTTTATAACATGCACACCCCCGTCAGAAGTATCATCCAAACAAGTCTTTAAAATGCAGAAAAAGACGAGTTTTCCCTCCAATCTTTAATTCATTTTAATAATAAAAATAAAAATATATATCTCAATTTGTAAAATGACAAATTTTTATTATTTAAATAGGACAATTAATAAGTCAAAGGGCACAAAAGTCAATTTATCCGGTGTCAGATGTGATAGAGGTGTTTTTGTTAACATTAGCAAACTTGAAGGAATGTGATTGTTCAAAAAAGGGCTAAGTTTTATCTGTCTGTCAATAAGTTAAACCTCAAGAGATATGAGTGTAATTAATCCAAATAAAAAACAAATGATCATTTCATGAGTACTCGTGACACCTTGTAAATTATTTTTTGACATGTATGTAAAATTTTAGCGCCCAAAATTCCAAACTCTTTTTTTAGTTTCCATTTCGCGCGCACGAAATCGCGGTTCTCCAGAATTCCAACTCTTATTTTTTGATATGAAATCACGGTTCCTTAAAAGAATAAAAGATATGATCCTCTTTCTATCATCCCTGTTACCCATCCATTTCCCCTTCAAACCCTAACAATCTCTCTTCCGCACTACTGATCCTCTCTCATGCACGCCTCGAACTGATTCTCCAACGATCCACTTTAGAAGAACTATGGTAAGTACTGATTCTCTTGATCCTCGAACTGATTCTCTCACGTCTCTTTTTGATTTCTTCCCTGTTCTCTCAAATTTCTTCACGTACTACCTACTAAGACTTACTGCTATTGCTTCAAAAAGGAAATTTCTAGTTAAATTTGTTCTTCATAAATTCTGGAGTAAGGTAGCTCTGACTAAAATTTCCCCTTTTTTTGTGCTTGCAGTAACAGAACCCTATTTTTTGACCACTTAAAGTTTCCTTCATCTTCTTTTTTTCTTTTTTGTTTGTTCTGCTGTTTAAATGAGTACATTATATGATTTTTGATGAGTGAATATAGGATTTTTTTTTTTTGATAACTCAGAACTCCACGAGGCAGTGCCCTTTGGACCCACCTCCAGGGCATCAAACTGAGAATACTGCAGCCGGCCCCACAGCTAGATTTGGTAGAGGACTTGAACACTGGCCTTGTGTGTGCCAGGTCCAAGTCCCACCATCACTGCTAGCCCGCCGGGGGCTATATTCACTCATCTTGTTAATTGATAAGACACTGATTTGAACCATTAGCATTTGATAATTGGGGTTCAAACTTTGTTGTTGAGTGTTATGAACTTTGTATATTATTATAAAATATTCCATGATTTTGTACTAATTTCTTAACATTGTCTCAAATCAGGTATTGTTTGAACTTGTTGATGAGACTAATTGCTTTTATAAATTTGCTTCTAATCATTGTAATATATATGTGTGTGTGTGTGTATATATATATATGTATGTATTTATTGCTGGGTTTGGTTAAGATGATAAGGAGGCCCTAAAGGATCAGCAAATAGAAGGGTACTGGATGGAAGCCCATGAGTTTGACCCATCTTTCAGATGACATCGTCCAACATACCCTCAACCTGTGATTTCTCTCTTATATATGCATATAACAGCATATGCATTTGTTCTGTTTGTATATGCTTGTAATTTTTATAACTAATCTCCATTAAAGTTTTCACTTTGTCTCCTTGAATGTGTTACGATGTAAATATTTATCTATTTTTTTAGCTTTATTGATTTAATTGGTTACTTATCAATTTTTTTTTATGACTAATTGGTTATATCATAAAAGCTTGAGTTTGGCTGTATTTGGTATTTTTGGACTGGCGGGTTAGTGGAAGTGAGAGATTGAGGTTATAGAAGTTGGAGGACTTCAGTAAGAATATAGAAACAATATGCTGATGACTAATTATATATATGCATGATAATATGGGTTTCAAATTGTTCTCTACACGGGCACCAAATTGACTTGGAAGCACCACATGACTATATTACTCATTATTGGTTATTTATGTACTAGTTAGATGCTTATGACTGGGTTAGCCGAAAGTAATGAAAATGATGAATAATATCACCCCCTAAAATGATGAATAATGTCAGGTCAGTACCCAAAGAACTCCACTTATCCTATCAACACTTGTATAATTATAATCAAAGATGTTATGCTATGTGCTATCTGAAAACAAAAATATCCTGATCCGATTCTTTAACTATTGCCATTTGGTAAGTGCTAATTATTGCAATCTATCAACCTAGCTAGCTAGCCAGTTTAGCAACTATGGCCTGCACCAAATCTTATCATTTAGTATGCCAAAACAAACCACGTGCACAAGGCAGACAACTGTTTAATTTGTTTCTTGAAAACAAAACTAACTTCTTACATGTGTGTGTGTGTGTGTGTGTATTTTCGTGTGATTTAAAATTTGAAAGAGAGAGTATTGGACTTGCAAGTTGACATTTGGTTGGACAATGTTCTTAGTCTTGTCTTGAGCTTAGTCTTTCACTATGATTCTTATAATTTCCTATATTGTTTTTTCCTTGGCAATTCTTTTTTCTTTTCTTTTTTCAATTTTCATGTCCAGCAATTGAAAAGAACTAAGTTGAGTGCAGTATTTTTGTGAATACTTATGAATCTCGTTTTCTGTGTTCTGATTTATGTGGAATAGATAACCAGTAAGTCTGGTTGTAGAACATTATAAGAAGTTCTATAGTCTGTACTGGTACACCTTAACTATAATCTAAATGTGCAATGTAGTCAATACAGTTTGTACTGCTGCTAAATTTAGATTATAGCCAGAAAATTTTCATGTATGATTGCTTTGCAACTATTTCAGTGGGAAATTGGTGAAACTGATAATGCATACTGAAGAGAAAGCTTGCTCAACTGCAAGTCTGGAACTATTTCTTGAAGCTTCCTAACTTTTTGTTTATTTTTTTTCCTTTTGTAATTGCTTCTATTTTAGAATGTCCTTATTCAAATGTAAGTGTTATTATTTCTTTGATATCTTTAGTATTTTTATAATAATAATAATAATAATAATTATTATTATTTTTATCTGCAGTTGCTATTTATATTGATCTGGTTTAACAAATATGTTGCATATCTTTAGTGTTCTTTTCTAAAGGTGCACATTCAAATTTCTAATATACTCTCTCTCTCCCCCTCTCTCCTTATATTTATGTATGTGTGTACATATATCAGATGTGTGCACATTCAAAGTTCTAATATGTGTGTACATATATCGTTTTTCCTATGGGTTTAAGGGTCTCTGATTTCTCTCTAGTACAAATCTTATTTTGTATAAAATGCAATCCCCAGACTTAAATTCACATTAATTATCAGATTACTTCAATCTTTTATATGTCATGCACCATTCACCAAGCTACAATTTTCAAGTTTATTATATTTTTAGCTAGGTATTCACATCAGCATAATGTTTCTTATTTTCTCCATTAATTTATCAAAACTTAACCATTGCTTGAGATTCTGAAACATTTTATTATATTTTTGGCTAGGTATTTGCAGCAGCTAATGGACTGAACATTGCCGTGAATACAGGGCCTTTCTTTCTACAGCCCAAACTTGCAATCAGTAAGTAATCCCTGTCACTATTACACCCTGCATTTTTCATTAATTGAAGTTACATGAGTGTTTATTTAGAGAGAGAAAGCATATGCAGTACTGTTTATTTACAGAGAAAAAGCATATGCAGTATTAAAGTATGAAAATAGCCAGGCATGTGCACACAAGTGTATTCCTTGCATGCCCCTCTATGCATCTTAGGATTGACGAGAATGGGTGGAATTAATGACATTCTAATAGCATAGTTTAGTGGCACTTCCTCTCTTTCTAATGTATAAAGTCGAGGGTTCAAGTCCCCTTAGAGGCAAAGTGGGTGTGTGAGTTTCAAATAGAGGCAAAGTGGGTATTTGAGTTTCAAATAGAGGCAAAAAAAAAAAATGTCGACATTCTAATAGCTCTTGGGGACACATAAATTTGTGAAAATTAGTTCATTTGCTTGGTGATTCCTATTGACGAACCTTGCTTTCTAAGGAAAATTAAGGCGGTTAATCTAATTGGGACAAAACCATTACTATAGATTTCAATTTTTTAGAAGTTAGTACCATCTTTTTAATAGGACTGAATAGCAACTTCTTAGTGAATACATAGGTAGGTACATAAATATAGACAGAAAGAAAATACTGCAAGAATTCAGGAAATATATATATATATATACACTGCAAGAGAATTCAATTTCATGGGATACAAAATGGCTATAAACTTAAATTTCTCCATTTTATAATTAAGTTTCTAAAAATAAGCTTGTTAAATGCAATTTTAGAGCCAGTTCATGATGGATTGATTTCAAAAAGGAAGTGGAAAATACAGTATATAAGAATAGGTTTACACCAAACAATGAGGTCTTTGTGCAGATGATGGTTACTACTTTTTTCCTTTTTTTTTTTTTTTTTTCTTTTCTTTTTTTTTTTTTTCCCCTGGTATGTTCATGATGATAATTGTGATTTGGAGCCATCTTTTTGTTATAATTGGTAGTTGTTCTTCTCTCTCTAGGAGTTCTTAAACGTTGATTCCACCCATAAACAAACATTGAGTAACAATCCTTATTTGAAATCCAATACTTTAAGCAAATATCAAATTTCAATCCTCGTAATTTATCATCTCCTTCTCATACATTTTCTAGGGTTTCTATTTCCTCTCCAAACAAATCATTACATAAAGGTTTTGAATTTTGAGTGAACTGTGTTATGATTTCTTAAGACATTACATAATGGGTTTTGCTTTTCTCATTTCAGAAAAGAGAATCAACCTATAATATCCCTCATTTTCTTAGAAAACAATTCTTGGATGCATACCTATTTTGGTGGTTTTTGACAAATAGAAGATTGTTTGAGGTAAAAAATTGGCTCAACTTTTCCAAACGCACCTGATATAATTTAGGTTTTTGGTAAGATTTTTCATCTTGTTATTTCTATAATATGTATCAGTGGCATAGATAAACGTGTATGTATATATATTCCTTGTTTGAAAGTACTTTTTAATTATTTATTTATTTTTTATAGAGGCCCATAGTTAGCAAAATTATTGCAAATATAGGTAGTTGTACACACATATTTATAGGGGTAAAATGACACAATTTATGTCATTTAAAATTCTTATTTTTTACTAATCCCAGTTCATTCCAAACCTACAAAAGTAAATAGAAACCCATCAAAAATAATGTGTTAGAGGACAGTCGCTTTCATGTAAAGACAAAGTGTATTATGATAAAGCATTGTGTTAGATTTAGAGGCAATGAAGGAGATAGACACACAACCCAATTCCACTAGAGCGAGGAATTCTTTGGTAGTTGAGCTAGTTGAGATTAATTGATTGTAGTCTCATACTGTATATCTCCTAAATGTTTGATTACGGAAAGTTCGTGTCTGGATACCCTTTTTCTCTCGTTGTTTGGTCGGTAAGAAAAATAGTTTTCCCCCAAAATGAAAAGGGTTGTATGGTCTATTGTAAGTGAATGAATTCATCTATTTTCAGTGAATTATTTACCTACGTGAAAATGGCAATATTTTGATTTTAATATTTCTTAGAATGCATCAGTCATTGAAGTAGATATATTATCAAGGGCACTGAATCAAGATTTCTAGTTTCTTGTTAATGTCTTGAAAAACATGCAACATACTATAAATCAAGGATCCCAAAAGATGAATTTGAGTTATACCATGCACAGTTATTTAATTAGAGATCAGAGGTCTTTTTCAGTTGGCATCAATAATATCGAAGCTAAAGTAGCTTGACAAAATTTCAGTTGGTGATATACATACATAATCTTGACCCCAAATAGATAAGATATATAAATACATTCACAACACCAGCATGCATGTAATTCTTAGAGGTGAGGATATTATCATTGCTTAACGAATAGGTTCATTTTGAAGCAGCAACTTTTTTAACAAAATGAAATAGACCAAAATCTATTCTTCGGAATCAGACTTCTCTTTGGAGATTATTTTATTTTCTCTGTACTCAGTTCAACATCTTATAACATCTATTATATACTCGTTTGCATGTACATGAAAAAGAGTACTCCCAACTTATTGAGAACGCTCATGACATGCAATCCTAAATTGCAGGCATTGATATCTCCTCCGGAGCAATGTAACGAAAGTACTAATAGCTTCTCAAGGGAAGAACTGAGGGAGAAGGTCTTGATGTTTACTTTCTGTTTGGAGAGAGAGAAACAAGGAAAAAGAAAACTAGAGAGGTGATAATTCTTAATTTTTGCTTTGTTGTTGTTGTTGCTAGCTGTGTTAATTAGTAAATTAACATTTCTCTTTCAACGTTTCGGTGGAGGGAAGTAAATCAGTGGTCTCATATCTTTATACTTCATTTTTGGCTGGGCATATATGGAGTCTTTACGGAAATGCTCTAACAGGACATGTCCGGTATATAAGCTTGCCTTTCCCAAAGGACGCTATGGTACCAATTTTAAAACAAATGCCTATTGTTCATTCATTGTGTTACCTTACCCTTGATCTCAAGAGGACAATGTTCACAAAGTGAAAAGATAACCATTCTAGAGCCATTTCATGATGGATTGATTTCAAAAAGGAAGTGGAAAAAACAATATACATATAAGAATAGGTTTGCACCAAACAATGAGGTCTTTATCAGATGATGCTTACTACTAATTGTAATTTGGAGCCATCTTTTTGTTATATTCGGTACTAAGTACTCATCAGTGACTGTAAAATATTACATCTTTTAGCTAGGTTGGTGCATTAATAGTTTTTTTTGTGTGAATAATAAGATTGCAATGCCAATCAAGTCACACTCAGGGTTTTCACTATCTATGTATCTATCAGTGAAGCCTCATATCTGCCAAGTTTTTTTCCTTTTTTGGATAAGTAGGCTTTTATATATGAAAAACTTTACAAACAAGGCTAGCTGTGCTAGCTAAATCCAAATACACAGAAGAGTACAAAAAAAAAAAAAAAAAACACAGAGGCAATAGCAGATACAGATTAACAACCACCAACATAGCTCAAAGGAGTTATGTGAGTCCAAAGGGACCTCACTGTCCCTGTCAAACATTGAATGTTTGATCTGTGGGCTTCCTAGGTGGTTTGATGATGAAGCTGGGAAGATCCCAGTCTTCAGCTATAGATCTAAAAATCTTGTTATCCTTGAAGGAGCATGATATTAGAGTCATCCTTATAAGTTCCCTTACCTTGCAAATGATGACTTGAGGGGCTTCTAGTCTATTTCTGAATATTCTGTTATTCCTCTCTTGCAGTATGGAGTATACACAGGTTGCAAGAGCCAGCTTGTGTGGGAGGAACTCAAGGCTATTGAACCATATGGCAGAAGCCGAGGCAATGAGAGTTTGCCAATTTGTGTGCTGATATGGAATTTGCACAACCCTTGGAAATGATCCCATAGACATTGGAAGAAGAGGTGGGATAGAGATTCTTTGTCAGACACACAGAGAGCATATGTGTTTAGAATCATCATGTAGAACATGGACTGACTATCCAAGATTAACAATTTGCTTAGGACAGCAAGCAGTAAAATGAATCTATGCTTGGGGATATGATGTTTGAACCAAAGGATGGAAGGCCATTGAGGGGAGGGCATATTGACATGGCTAAAAAAGCTTTGAGAGAGAGAGAAGCTGGGGAGGTAGTCCAGAGAATGAAATCTGAAGCAGAGAGATTGATTGCAGGGAGAGAGGCTGTGTTTCTTAATTCGGGGATTAGTCTAACGATACCATCTGGAAATGACCACTGTCCATTGTTGATAACTGAGCTGAGCTTAGCCTATCTTCCTATAGCTGAGGTCAGAATGAAGGAGTTGGATATTTTGTTAACAAGAGGGCCTGAACTGAACCAAGGGTCAAACCGAAAGGAGGTGTTGCTACCATTTACAATCTTGACAGAGATGAGTGGCTTAGCAGCATTTCTGAGTTGCAAAAACTTTCTCCAAATTCAAGAACTGTTGGGAGGGCACAAGAACTTACAAGAAGTTCCTATTCCTTAGCAGAGAAGAGTTGATCCACCTTGGCCGCAGATCATCTGGATACTTCAATAAGAATCAGATGTGTGTGATCATGGTTGCAGTGTTGAGATTACTGAGAAGCCAAAGTCAAACCACCATTAGCTTTTGGCATGCACACACTGTTCCAAGCTACCTTCGGATTAGAGATGATCATCACAGCTGATGATGAATCAATTGAAATAGGCCTCCTCAGTGGTTGTATCTCATCCTCTGTGTTAATTTTATCATCACCCAAGTCAATGACACCCGAAAATTAAACACCATGGCCATTAGAATTTACAACCTCCTTTGAATTATGAAAATCATTCCTTTCCTCATCCACCTGTGGTAATTCTAATTCCAATTCGTCCTCTGTACCAACCCTGTTTTCACAAACCACCCCACCAGTGATCGAATTGTTATTCAATTCACCATAATTCTCCGAATTCTCCATTTGGGTATCTTCATTTGAACTTAAACCATGAGCAATCTGATCATTTGAAGCTGAAGTAGTAGTACTCACAGTGTTAGACACTACAGCAGCACGACACGATGGACAATTGGTGTGTGACCTCAGCCAAGTATCGATACAAGGAATGTGAAATGCATGACTACACTTGGGTAGTAGCCGAAGAGTATCACCTTCCTGAAACTCGCTCAAGCATACCGAACAATCAGTCCCTTCGATCAAATGGTCTCCTTTCTTGAACTTGAAGACTGTGATTGAATTGATGATTGATGGTTGGAGGCCAACGGTGGAGATGTACCAGATGTGATGATCAATTGGCGGTCCCTGATTTTCATCCACAAACTCCTCTTCTTGTCCATCTGAATGGGTTGGTGGTGCACCAAAAAGATTCAATCTGGAACAATACCTAACAATGATCAAGTAGCAGCAGACCACAAAGAAGAAGCCGGTGATCAAGGCGAGTATGATTACCGTGTGGGGCGGTATGTGGCTGCTCTGACTGTCTGAGCGAGGCGGCGGCGGCGGCGGTATCATGGAATCGTCAGGGAATTCAGAGCAACCATAGAGGCAGTTTAAGAGACAATAATCTGGACAGTCAGTTTGGTTCATTCCAGTTATAGCTGGATATAGTTTTCTGTGCTTCATGGAAATTGCAGAGAGGGGGTGAGGGGGAGGAAGGAAGGTGTGTTAAGTTCTGTTTGGAGAGAAACAAAAAAGAAAAAACACAAGAGAGTTGATAATTCTTAATTTTTGCTTTGTTGCTGTTGCTAGCTGTGTTAATTAAATTAACATTTCTCTTTCAATGTTTCGGTGGAAGGAAGTTAATCAATAGTCTCACCATCTGTATATTTTTGGCTGTGCATGGAGTAATGTCCATATACGTATATATAGTTCACTATATATATATATATATATATAAAGACAATAAAGAAGCCTTGCTGCTCCTCCATTGTATTACCCTATTTATTTATTTATTTATTTTTGTACGTCCATGACAATGTGATTTGGAGGCATCCATTTGTCATAATCGGTACCAAGTGGACATCAGTGACCATAACATATTGCATCTTTTAGCTAGATTGATGCAAATTTTTTATTTTATTTTATTTTATTTTTTCGTTCTTTCTTCCTAGGTTAGTGCATTAATAATTGTGCGACTAGTAAGATTCCGATGCTAATCAAGTCACTCTCTGGGTTTTCGCTATCTAAACGATCAGTGAAGTAGACCTCATATCTGCCAAGCTTATCCTATTTCTACCCTTTCTTTTTGGTAATATGTCCAATTAATTTCTATTTTCTTCCCTTGTAATGGACCATACCTTGGGACCACTTTTATTTATTTATTTATTTTTATTTTTATTTATTTTATATATATATATATATTTTATTATAATCCATTCAGGAGGAAATACCATGTAATAATTTATTCTCAATTTAGATGCTTATTTCCATGCAACGTATTATCGCTCCTTGGTTTTTTTTTTTTTTTTTTTTTTTTTTTTTTTTTTAATTGTACGACAAGGTTATGATAAATACAGATACTAAAAAATTACAACTGGAGGTACTACTAGACCTCATAAAACAAAATAGATTAAAAAGAAAAAAAAAAAAACCACCAAACGTGCTTGAAATGCCATGTTCACAATCAGCCTAGTGGAAGCCCGTGATTGTGTGCATACTTTTGTTTTGTTTGGAAGTCCAGAAAACCAAAATCATGTTGGCACCAAGACATCAATCGGAACAATCATACTCCAGTCCACAACTCTGACTTAAAATATTAAAGAAGGAATTTTATCCCTAAAATATATTTTAAGTAATAAACATGGATGCACTCGAAACATATTGCGTGTGCAAAAAACCACAAATCTTTGGCTTCTCTCCTCTATATTTATACAGTTTACATGTACCGGTTGGGGCTTATTTTCCTCCTTGTTTCTCTCTCTTTCGATTTTATTATTGATTTGATGCTATACTTTGGTTCTTATCCTCCGTGACCTTTACTTTCGACTTTCAGTTATAGGCTTCACGTGTGGTTTTATTGCCTTGGCACATGGCTTCTTTTTCACTGATTGATTAAAGGGTACAGGTGCCCATCGTTGATTGGTGTGGACTTTTTGCCCCATTTCCCTCCAATTTTGGATGGTAATATAAATTGAAGGGGATTTAATATTCCAGTTGGATAGTGTATTTCAACCAGTGTTCCATCTCCCTTGGGCTCATTATGCTTCCTAGGAAGGCGCGGGCGTGCGACGGCTTCCTCTATTGCTCATTATGGAACACCTCGGCTTCCGAACTATTTTGCGTTTTTGAACTCTTGCAATGGGGACTTGATCCTTGCCTCTGGTTTCTTAACTAGCTCTTGAGGAAATTGCGAGATATATTTTATAATTGGTTAATTTCGTTGTCAAAACAAATCCGATCAAGTTGTAATTTTTCGGTTCAAAATTTCAAAGATTTCACTTCTGTCTAATGAACCCTTCATCTGGTAGCAAACCTTAGTCCACAACAGGCTTGTTCACTGCCAACCTTGAACCGGTACCACAGTTGAGAACCGGTAGCCAAAGTGCGTCGGAAAGGTTTTTGACCTTCTTGAACCGGTACCAAAATTGGGAACCAGTACCAAGATGTGGAGTATATTTCTACTGAGGACTCAGCAGGTGATGATCCTTCGATCGGGCTTGCCATGGCGAGGGGATGTAGACATCGGAAGATGAGATGCTACAGAAGGATGTTGGTCGATAGTTGCTAAGTGCTCGGGCTTCTATCCATGCTATGCATGTATTTATTTGCCTTTATCTATTTTTCTGTTTTTTTCCTCTCTTTGAGCAACCTTGTTTGCTTCCTTGAGTGCAGAGTCTGCAGACTATGTTCAGCGTCATGTCCTTGTGTAAGGCTCTCGAGGTTGACTCTTACAAGATGAAAAAATGGAAGAGGAGTTGGAGAAGGCTAAGCAGACCAAAAACTGTTGTTCGGCATTTGAGATGGAGAACAATGAGCTATCAGTTGCCTTAGAGTCTTGGAGGGCCAAGACCGAAATTGCTAAATGCAGGATCAAAGAACTTCAGAAGCTGAAGGAGATCGCTGCAGCCAATCTGAACAACTCCAAGACCGATGGAGTTCATATGAAAAACAGGTTCTCGAGGATACTCAACACCATATGTGCCGAGGCTTATAGACAAGGCTTCAATAATGCTCTAGAACCGAAAGAAAAGAAGAGCATGGTGAAGGATCCCGATACCTTCGATAGGGAGATAAAGGTCATTTTTTCATATGTTTAGGATCCTGTGAACCAAGCCCAGAGGAAGCTATTTTCCAAAATTTCTGGAAACTCTAACTGCGGTTCCTTTTTCATCTAAGGCTCCCTTCAGCAGAACCCAATGCTCCTTATTCTAATATAGTTAATGCTTTTGATGATTCCCCCAAGAAGGGGTGACCTGCAACTGTGAACATATTTTTGTGGACCATGGTGGTCCTTGATACAATTTTTTTTTATTTAAATTTTATGTTGCTTTGTCTATTCTGATCATTTGTTATCTCATTTTCTTGACAAATTGTTTGCCATATGTTGAGTCTCAATGGCCAGTTTCTAGATGCTTGGATTATATATATATATATAAGTCTTGACGATCAGCTCTTAGTGTCGTTTGTCGCTTGGATTATGGTATTTTTTCCAAAGTCCTGGCGATTGCCACTTAGACTTGAATTTTTGTTAAAGTCCTGACAATTGGCTCTTAGTGCCATTTGTCACTTGGACTATGGTATATGTCCTAAGTCCTGGAAATTGGCTATTAGATCCATTTGCCACTTAGACTTGAATTTTTGTTTAAGTCCAGGCGATAAGCTCTTAGTGCCACTCGCCATTTAGACTATGGTATTTCTTCTAAGTCTTGACGATCGGCTCTTCGGCTCTTTGTGCCATTGGTGTAATACTATTAATTTCTGGAGATTTAATTAATTGTTTTAATTGTATTTTTATTTAATTATGTGACTATTTAATTATTTGTTTTTAATTATTTTATCTTTGTTTAATTTAAATTTATTAATATGGCTAATTGTTAATGTACATTCATTTATTTGATTTTATGCATTTTAATTATGTGGCTTTGTGTGATCTATTTATTTAATTATATTGCTTGTAAATGTTTAATTGTGTAAGATTAGATGTTATGCTATTTTATTTTTATTTTATTTTTAAGGGATGGATTTGGGTTGTAGTCCTTGGATCAACTAGATGGGTCTTGGACTCTTTGGAAGGGATCCTAGATGGGTTGGATATTGGCTCATCGATAGGAGTGTGTGTGTGTGTATATATATATATATATATATATATATAATGTTGTGTGTATATATATATATTATGTTTTTATTATAATAATTATTTATTATTGTAATTAGTGTTATTTTATGTTTTGTCAAACGTTTGTTAGGACTAGGGTTAGATGTAGTGTCTATATATATATATATATATATATATATATATACATATACATATATTGTAGATTTAGAAAAGAAAAGAAGAAAAAGAATAGAGAGGGGCGAGGGAGAGAGAAGGGCGTGAAAGAGAGAGAGGGAGAGAAGAAGAAAATCTATTCGTAGGTCGATCGAATCAATGGAATGAACGGCGGTAACCTGAAGGCTGCCGGCGTTAGAGAAAAAGAATAAGGAAGAAGGAGTTTAGCTTTCGATCCGAAAGCTTAAGGCAATTTCTTCGTTCTACACTTCTCCTTTAGAACTCATGTTCTATATGTCTCTAGTACGGCTTTAGGATTTTATTAAAGAATTATTAAAGTTGAATTCATGTTTAGATCGGGCTAGAACTAGGTTTTATGAGTACATGTTTATATATATGTATTTTTGAATGTTTATGTTGAATTTAAGATTTGATCTATGAGAAACTTGATTTCTATGTGATAAAATTGCTTATGATTAGTCCATAAATGTTTACAGGACTTTGAAACATGTTTAGGACCTGAAAACAATGAATTTTTAGCCTAAAATCAGTAATTCCGAGTTGTTATCCCGTTACAACGCTTACGTACTTATTTTGGGATAACAGTGCTCGAGCCCTGTCTCAACAGGGTTTAAGAGCTATTTGACAGGGCTCGAGCGTGTGAAATATATATTTTGGGGAGATTGTGAAAAATATATATATTGTATATTGGCAAATTTCGTTGTCAAAACAAGTCCGATCGAGTTGTAATAATTTGGTTTAGAATTTCAAGGTTAAAGATCGGATGCGGATTTGAAGAAGTTTAAGTGGTCATGGTTTACTACACTCCGGGATGATGAGAAGAATGCTTTAGGAAGGTATGTGAGTGAGTGAGAACACTTTAGGGAGTTTAGAAGGTTGAATGAAACAGATATTTCACTTGTCTCTTGGGAACCGGTACGAGAATTCTTGAATTGGTAGCTAACTATGGGCTGAAGAAGAATTCTTCACTATCTTTCTTGAATTGGTACCACATTTGGGAACTGGTAGCCAAAATGCGTCGGAAAGGCTTCTGACCTTCTTGAATCGGTACCACAGTTGGGAACCGGTACCAGGAGTCCTGACAGCATCAGAATTTTAGTCTCCTTTTAGACCAAACTTCCTTCTACGTCCTATGTACGAAATTTTCTATATTTTCATAGGGATTAGGACATTCTAAATTCTATATAAACCTTGTTAGTCATCTAGGTTTATTCATGACTTTAAGGAACATCAATTCTATATTTTGAGAAAGCCTTTAGAGAGATATTTTTATACACGGCTTTTGTATACAAAATTTCAGATCTTTGAGAAAGCCTTTTGAGAGATATTTTTATTCAGAAAATCAATCTG